CCAAAACCAGGAAGAAGGTCAACATGATCATAAAAGCCCTTGAATCATGCAACTACTCCGTCATAGCACTGAAGGAGTATAGGCGGCAGGCATCGAGTTCGCAACCCCAGACAACGGTAGCTACTGTACCACTATTATTCACTGATGCCGACCTGCAGGGAGTGCATATGCCTCATAACGATTGCCTCGTCGTCGAACTTCAACTCGGAGACGTTGAAGTAAGCAGAATACTTTTTGATACCGGAAGCTCGGTAAACGTCATATTCAAAGAAACGCTCAAGAATTTGGATTTCCCGGACTCCAAAATCAAACCTTACATGGAGTCGTTAACCGGTTTCACCGGAGAGAAAACTAGAATAGTCGGAACGGTGAAGATACCAATCTATGTCGGTAGATCAGCACGGATGATCAAATCCTTGGTCCTCAACAAGCCGGCGATATACAATGCTATTTTGGGAACACCTTGGCTGTTCGACATGAAAGCTGTCGCATCGACATTCCATCAATGTGTTAAGTTCCCGACCCCGTTAGGGATCTACACCCTTAAAGGAAGCCAGACCGCATCTCGATTGTGTCAACTTACCGAATGCCAATTCAGCCTTACGCGAACATACGTCATCAGCCCTTTTCAAGAGGAACGCGCGGCCGCGGTTGGTCAGTTCGGGCCACCAAAGCAGAGCCGAGTTGAACAGGTCGGCATCGACCCGACGAACCCGGAAAGATGTGTTGGTATTAGGGCCGAACTCGACAACAACATTCGGGAAGCGCTCATCAGTTTCCTCTAGAAGAACGTCGGAACATTCGCATGGTCCATCAGCGACATGCCCGGAATCAACCCAGATATCACTTGCCACGAACTAAATATCGACCCAACTTACAAACCGATCAAACAGAAGAGACGCAAGCTCGGACCCGAGAAAGCACGGGCAGTCAACGATGAGGTTAAGAAACTACTTAAAGCCGGCTCGATCACGGAAGTTCGGTATCCGGACTGGTTAGCAAACCCGGTAGTCGTGAAGAAAAAGAACGGAAAATGGAGGATCTGCATCGACTTTACCGACCTGAACAGAGCATGTCCCAAAGACAGTTTCCCACTACCCCATATTGATCGTTTGGTAGAAGCGACATCCGGCAACGAACTGTTATCTTTCATGGATGCCTTCTCGGGGTACAACCAAATACTGATGCATCCGGATGATCGGGAAAAGACTTCGTTCATCACAGATCGGGGAATCTACTGCTACAAAGTCATGCCCTTCGGCCTCAAAAACGCAGGTGCCACGTACCAAAGACTCGTAAACCGTATGTTCGCCAGTCAGCTCGGGAAGACAATAGCGGTATACATAGACGACATGGATGTTAAGTCTCTGCACGCCTAGGACCAAATAGCGCACCTATCGACGTGCTTCGATATCCTTAACGAGTACGGGATGAAATTCAACCCCGCGAAGTGCACATTCGGTGTAACAGCAGGAGAGTTCCTCGGCTATATCGTTACAGAGCGCGGTATTGAGGCCAACCCTAAACAGATATCTGCAGTCTTGGACCTACCTTGCCCGACTTCAAAAAGAGAAGTAAAAAAACTCACAGGCCGGATCGCCGTTCTGAACAGGTTTATCTCCAAGTCGACCGACAAGTGCTTGCCGTTTTATCAGTTGTTACGAGGTAACAAGCATCATACTTGGAGCGCGGAGTGCAAAGACGCCTTCAAGCAGCTGAAAACGTATCTATCGACTCCCTCCATCTTAGCTAAGCCCGAGAACGGCGAGACGCTTTTCTTATATATCGCAATCTTCGCCACGGTGGTTAGCAGCGTTCTAGTCCGAGAGGACAGGGGAGAACAGCGTCCAATATTCTATGTCAGCAAGTCACTAAGTGACTCCGAATCCAGATATCCAACCTTAGAAAAATTAGCGCTCACGGTGGTAGTTTCTGCTCGGAAGCTTCGGCCGTACTTCCAGTCTCATTCTGTCACCGTCCTGACTGACCAGCCGCTCCACACCATTCTGTACAGTCCAAGCCAGTCAGGTCGCCTCGCGAAATGGGCCGTCGAACTAAGAATCGAACCAGTGCAAAATCCCAAGTACTGGCCGATTTTCTGATCGAGCTCCCTAAAGAATTCGTCGTCGAACAGCCGCCCCGCGAACTGTGGACATTGCACGTTCATGGATCATCATCGCACCGAGGATCGGGTGTCAGAATTCAATTAAAGTCCCCGAACGACGAAATCCTCGAACAATCATTCTGTCTTGAATTCCCAGCATCCAACAATGAGTCTGAATACGAGGCTTTACTTGCCGGACTGCGACTAGCCAAAGAGCTCGGCGTAAAACATCTTCACGCCTTTTGCGATTCGCAGCTCGTTGCGAGCCAGCTAAGCGGCGAGAACACGACCAAAAACGACCGAATGGATGCATACTTGAAAGCAACTAAAGCGCTCATTTCGGGGTTTGAAACGTTCGAACTCACAAAAATCCCTCGCGGAGAGAATTCGTCAGCAGATGCCTTAGCTGCTCTAGCCTCCAGTTCCGACCCACACATGAAGAGAAAAGTTCGGTCGAGAGCATCTCAGAGCCAAGCATCAAAACCATACAGTAATGCAACGTTGCCACTCGGCGACGGAATTACGACGATAACCCGAACCCGATCCCGCCAAAAACGCAACGAAGGAACCCGGCACGCACGAGCGAGGGTGCCGAAAAAGTTCCCGAAGATCCAATTGACGACCACGATTTCGAGCACATAACCAATGGAATCCATAACCCATCAACGAATGAGAACCAGGGAAACGAGTTCGCCGAAGATTGGACGAGACAACCTCCTCAACGGAACAGTCCCCGAAGACAAATGGGCCGCTCGCCGCCTTAAAGTCCGAGCCGCCCACTACACCATGCATAAGGATAAACTGTACCGATGGAGTGCGTCCGGAGTGCTCTTGGCTTGTGTTAGCGGAAACGATACAGTCAAAATCATGCGCGAAATCCACGAAGGATCTGGCGGTAATCATTCGGGAGGACGGTCCCTTGCCCTGAAAATTAAAAAAACCAGTTATTTATGGCCGACGATGAGTGCAGACTGCAAAAGTTCGTCATGAAATGTGACAAGTGCCAGCGACACGGCCCAATGATCAACGTGCCTACCGAACTGCTTCAAACCAGTACGGCGCCTTATCCCTTTATGCTATGGGCCATGGACATCATCGGACCCCTATGCCGATCAACAAATCAAAAGCAGTACATCCTGGTCATGACGGATTACTTCACGAAATGGGTCGAAGCCGAAGCGTACCCCGAGATCACCGCCCTTGACGTTCAAAAATTCGTATGGAAGTACATCATCTGCCGATACGGGGTTCCGCACGAGATCGTCACAGACAACGGACCACAATTCGTTGCAGGAACGTTCAACGATTGGTGCGCGAAATTCCGAATTCGTCTTAGTTTCTCGACCCCGCTATCCGCAAGGCAACGAGCAAGCCGAGGCAACCAATAAGACCATTCTGGACGGTATAAAGAAGCGTCTCGAGGCTAAGAAAGGCACTTGGGCGGATGAGCTCGATGGGGTCTTATGGTCGCACCGAACTACTCCACGACAATCAACCGGGCAATCTCTCTTCTCTTTGGCGTACGGAATCGAAGCCCTCTGTCCGGCCGAAGTTAGCATCCCGACCTTAAGGTACGCCGTGCTCCACGAGAACCCCGATCTCAACGACCAGATGATGATCAACAACCTCGATACCTTGGAAGAACAACGATATTTAGCTCTCCTCCGAATCCAGAACTATCAACGCCTCGCTGCTCGGTACTACAACAAGAAAGTGCGACGAAGGCGACCTCGTCCTGTGCAAGTATTCCATAATAGCGAGGAGGTAAATGCAGGCAAGCAGGGCACGAACTGGGAAGGCCCGTACCAAGTAATGAGAATCGTCAAGCCCGAAGTATACGAACTCATGCAGCTCGACGGAACGCCGATCCTGCGATCGTAGAACTCGGCTAACCTCCCATGATCAAGTCCCAGCCACCGCGAGCTCGGGCCCCATTCTCTAGCGCAACCAGCGCCCAAAAAAAAAAAAAATCAGTCCGGCTCTAGCCGAACTCACCCCTGTAAACTGAAATACGAGTGGCTTGATCCCTTGCAAAAGGGTACGTAGGCAGCTCGATTTCGAGTCCAGCTACAAATCCAATAAAAATCCATTTTTTCCTAAACACTAATTCCACACATCGACTCCCCGGTCAGGAGATCGATCCAAGTATTCCCCACGAATACAACTTCAAAAGCCGAGATCAGACTCGTCCGCATCCCCATGATGCTCCATCATTTAAAGCCGGAACCCAATCCGCACTCGCTCCTCCGAATAGCGATCCGTCATCATAGCATCACGAACTCAAATTCGGAAAAGCTCCCCGAGTTCGTTCGCATCGTCATCATAGCATCACAGACTCTCCAATTTAAGGAAAACAAGCCGAACTCCCAACAGTTTGCAAATAAAATACGCAATACAAGGAAAGTAAATTCTAGGTAAAAAACTGTGAAGAAATATCCGCATTCATTCCATTAAAATATCTGGAATTGTCGAGATAGACGACAACAATTAAACGCCAAAAACCGGCGACAAAACAGTAAGTTTGACCCGAACTATGCGGATAAGATAACTATACAACCTAAGACAACATAAGAAAAACAACAAAGGAATCTACTGGCGAGCAACAGAAGCCGGACTCTTCAAACTCGCTGCCCGATCAGCCGAGATGGACCTGGAGTTTGAGCCAAACTAGTCTAAGCCTTCCGGAACATGCGTCTCCAGGGGAAGGTCAATTCTCGGGAAGGTCAGCATCGCTCGGACGAGTGAAGTCTTCATTCCCGAGCTACGGAAGAGGAACGCCATCGACCTCCCTCGTGCAATTCCTCACCCTCCGCTGGTACGTCTCCACAATGTGAGATAGAACGATGAGGTTGTGCTCCCGCCTAAGGAAGTTATAGAAGCCGACCAGAGCAGTGGCCTAGTTGAGCTTGAGGAACGGCGCCTTTCTCAGCTCGGACTTGTCCATGAAGTCCTTTATCTTTGCCAGCTTCCCCTCGCATTTGCTCCTTAGCGCCGCCATCATCTTCCGACCCTTCGACTCGGCGTCCCGATACCTTCGCCTCTCGAGCTCGCTCATTTTGAAGGATTTGGATAAAGCATCCAAATCAACCTCCAGCTTGGCAGCCCGCTTCTCTAGAGCCCCGACCTTCTCCTTCAGAGCTACGTTCTCTTTCTCCTTCTCGGTGAAGGCCAGCACGGAAGCTTCATATCGCTCCTTCTTGTCCCGGTACGACCCCTCCAGGGACGCCCTCTCCACAGCAACATCTGCATTAATCTTCCTCAGTCTCTCGACCTCGGAATCGTACTCCCGAACGAGTTCATTTGTATCGTAGACGAGCTGGAAATCAAGATAAAGTCAATAACATATCAAAGCTAAAACGCCTAGGTACCAAAAGAAAAGGAAACTTACAGCAGAGGCGGATCTCGCGACCCGGGCATAGGACTTGGGACGGAAGAGGTCCTTCGTCTCGCGCATTGGAGTGGAAGCCGGAACAATCTGCCTGAAGAGTTCGGCGCAGGCGAAAGCGTCATCGAAGAAAGACCGAGAAAGACGACGAACCGGAAACTTGACGCCTCTTCAACGACCTCGGGTTCCCGGCTTCGACCGCTTGACCCTCGGGAGGATCCTGAGTAGCCGCGGGCGAGCCCTCGATGTCTCCACCGTGAAGAACCATCGTCCCTTCGCTAACAGCAGCTTCGGGATCGCCAACCCTCTTCCTAGATGACTTCTTGGAGGATTTTTCTTTCTTCCTCCGCGCGCGATCAGCAATGGTGAGCTCGTCCTCGTTCTGCTCACCGATCTCACCGATCTCACCTTCCTCCATTTGAGGCTGAGGAGTCGCTTCGGGAACGCCAATCCCCACCTCCTCCGCTGCGGGGTCCGTGACAGGGATTACCGCATCTGCCTGATCGACAGGCGGAGGCTCGAGAGTACCATCACCGACCTCGTTCCCTTCGAGGCCGACGATGTCGATTGGAGCGTTGTCGTCCTCGTCATCGCCTGCAAAGTTCATCATTGGGATGTCTGACCTGTCAAACGCCATCCTCCGAGTCTTCTTACTCCTTTTCTTCGGGTTTTTCCTTCGTGGAGCTTTCTTCGAAGAGCTGGGTTCAGCTTGAGTTTTAACTACAAGTAAAACAATGTAATCAGTCACGACCTCAACATCGTTTTGGAGGGAACGAGCCGGAATTCATACCTCTCTCCTGGGCTCTCTTTATCCTCCGGTCAATCTTCTCCTGGTAAGCTCGTGGCCAACGACGCTGTCTGGCAAGGCTTAGTCGCTTCGTTAGGTCGGTCGTGAGGGAGCGTTGAAGGAATCCTGGAATGTGGCGATCTGCACAAATTGAAGAACGGTCAGTACCAATAAAAAAATAAAAGAGTTAACCGTGAGATATATACCAAAGTCAACACTCCAGCCAGTCCTGAACGTGCTCTCCGGATTCTCAGCGGAATGCGAGTCAACACGGACAAAGAAGTAACTTTTGTCCCAGTCCGCGAACTTGCTCGCCTTATTCCTCGTGACCAAATCAAACTTCGGATTGCAGTTCGCTGATAGGAACCAGCTCTTGGCCGTAGAAACCTTCATAATAAAGAGTTCCTCAAACTGGGCGACGTTGATATGAGTACGAATGTCGCGTCCGAGCTGAAGGATCCCTATAAAATTCACTATGGTTGCGGACTGCAACTGCGACACCGCGCAACCACGACGATTGCAGTAGGCAAATAGTATGCGCGGCAATAGAAAGGTCATACCGGCTTCGCGGAAGTACGCCTCGTAGACACAGATAAAGTCCTCAGGAGCGTCCCAAGGACGCTCTTCTGGTTCAGAAACCTGAATTATGATGCCGGAAGGGGCCCCGCAGTGTCTCTGGGGACGACAATGTAGACTTCATGGGAGCACACACAGATGGCCGATCTATGATCGGCATCATATCGTCGTCGTTCGGATCTTGCGCTCCTCCTTCCCCGACCTCCTGCAATAGAGCGTCTTCGTCCGTCTTCACGTCCGGCTCCCGTCCCAGGTCTAAGTCGGCAGGGACTTGACTCTCGGGCTCGTGGACGTTCTGATCCATCTGCTCCGGAGACCGAATCGGAACACGACTACTGGACCCGACTTCGACGACCCGAGAATTCTTCCGAACCAGAGAGGCGTTCGAAGAGTGTTCGGTAGATCCCGAACTCGAGATATCAGTTGAAGTTTCCTCCCGGCGGTGTTCAGGGAGGACGGCCGCCTCGGAGTTGGATGAGGATTCGGAAGACATTGTCGGAGCACCGTAAGAAACAACCGTTGACGAGAGAGCACGGCGGACGATGACCGGATATCCTAGAGAGAGAAAGAAGAAAACTTAGAGAGAAGGGAGAGCAAATACCTTGGCAGTAGGAGCGAAAGTAAGAAATGGGGAGAGCTGAGCCCTATTTATAGAAGAAAAACGAATCATTGTGACTTCTCGAGTTCCGTGCCTCGTAACGTCTCAATTTCCCGCCAAAACCGACACGACTCTTCAGTTCCCCAAAAGCGAAAAGACCTTAATACCCTCGTCAAAAACGTCAGAGTAAGGAAAGCACGTACGAGAATCGGGAATCTAGTTTCGCCGACCTCGGTCATCAACCGCTCCAACTTCAAGTCGGCAAAATTCAGTCAAGTTCATTTACCGAATTGGGGGGGGGGACATATTGTTGGTGGTACGCTCCGCTACCCGGTTCGGACCGAATAAAGACCGCGACCGGCCCAATTGATCTCGGTTTACGACAGTTTTAGCCGAAATGGGCCTAGCCTGACAGCACGGCCCACAGGGAGACAGGCCCAACGACAAGAGGCGGTGAGAGTCGACGGGGAAGCCCTAAATCTTATCCTCGTTAATGTACTATAAGTAGAGGGCTCGTTACTGTAGAATGGATCCCTTTTTGGACCCGGAGACATAGAGACCTCAGTATTATTGTATCCAGTTCGTCGAGAGACCTCCGAACTAAACGAACTGTAAATTGAAACTTAATTAAATAAAATCAATCTTCCAAACTTGAATTACCGAACCGACCCTAAATAGTTGAGAACCACAATCAACACTCATAATGTTCCATTGTTTGCCAATGTACAAAATCACGATCTTTTGTAAGGTGAATCTTTTATAAAATTGTGTAGTGCCATAGTGGCTGTCACAATCTTCACCCATTTCTTCAACTTATATTTAAGATGCTTGCGGTCTAGAATCCTCCATTTTTCCTTCCACACTCCAAATGTGCATTCAATCTTCGATCTCAAACCTAAATGTTTACGATTAAACATTTCTCTAGCATTTGTTGGTGGTCATCTTTTAGCAAACTGATCAATATGTGGTATCAAATTTTGCGACGAGGGCCTAGATAACCGGTTCTAGTAAGATATCCTGAATCCACCAGGTAATATTTTCCGTTTGGAGGATGCAGGGAAAAAAGTTCTTTTGTAGCACAATGTGTCAACACTTTAGAATCATGGACTCGACCAAAAATGCCAAGATATGCATATATGAATTTCATCTCAAAATTACATATAGCAAGCACATTGTCGCTTCTGATTTTCAACCTATGAAAAGTCCTGCATTCTGAGAAAGAGGATGAACCGGTATATGAGTACCGTCAAGTGCACCAATGCAATCCTTAAAGTATGGCATATACAGGTGATTCTTGACCAACGCAGGACTAGCTCTAGTGAATTCACCTCTTGAAGGTTTCAATGTATCTGCTGCAAGCTTCAAGAGTACACTCAAAACCTCATCCAACTTTCTTTTCACAGTATCAAGAGAATGTTGATATCTCTCTGCTAGAGTCTGATAGTAATATCTTGTCCAACCATCTCAACAAACATTGCCACACTTTCTTCAAGATAAACATGAGATGATTCCTTTAACTTGTATTGCTCTGATAGCTTTTGGCATAAACTCTTGAATGTACCTTGATTAATCCCTAAAATATCATAACATTCTCTCTCAGATTCCACCATAAACCATTGCACACGACACCATCTGACACCACGATCTATCCTACGTATTTGCCTATCATAATTAACATCCATGACTCCATAAAGCTCTTCAACAGCAACATGCATATATATTCTTTTCATCTTTTATATTAATGTATGTGTCATCATCTTCCAAAAACCACCTGAATGTATTCTGCAAAAGTTTCAAAAAAATCGTAACATTAAAACAAATTGATGCCAAGTTTCAGAGACATATTATATATGATAAAAAAGTATAGTTTCAAAGACATCGTTCATAGGCAAAACAAGCATAAGCTAAGTTTTAAAACATCATTCATAGAAGAAAAAAAACAACCAGAAGCTAAGTTTTTCATCCACCCCCACACGTCTCTATTCATCTCTACTTTCACCAGTTGCAAATTCCAAGTACAAAACCTTGTTTTCATCCACTTCATATGCTAAAAACGTTTGATGATTGGTGGGATTTGCTTGGACATGCAAAATTGCTGCTTTGTACAAAGAAGACCACATTCTCACACTAGTGCGAGAATGTAAAACTTTCATTACATGAATCTGACTACAACTGTAATCAGAGTGTTGTTCCAACAGCTGATTTTTCTGAAAAAGTATCTCATCCCGAGACTGAGAGCTGTCTCTAATCGCGTCAGTTATATCATGTGCTGCTCTCATTTTCTTACTAGCCCTTAATATATTGGATGATGAGGGTACATCAGCTGCATGAGTAGGTGGAGGGGTAGCTAAAGTGGGTCACTTTTTGTTATAAACGAATAAGAAATCGTTTTTATATACTTGTTATGATATTTAGTTATTTGGTTTTAATGTTACAAAATATGTTGTTATTACATGTAAATAATTTACTTAAGTTGTTCTTTCAAAGCGTTGGCGGAACCTATGCTATCAAACCAAAATATTGCTTTCAAAGAACATGAGTACGTGTACAAGTTTGGCTGCAACAAAGTCGCTAGGATTTCTTTTGTTCACTACATACGTCAATGGGTGTCTAGATTTCAAGGTCAAGTCATTGACAGTTTTGAGATTCATCTCTCCAATCCAGTAGGATTCGGGGCAGATATCGAGTACCTGATCGAATTTGCCGTCTCAAAACAAGTGAAGAAGTTAGTTCTTGATTTCTCAAACCCTGCTTGGAGAACTACTAGTGATGTATCGTAGCGTGAAGTTATTATTGACTTATATGTATGTGTGTACGTTATGCATGCAGGTTTGACCCCTTGAAATTCGCAATCCGGAACTGCTCATAAGCTTCTGTATAGGTTGGACTGGTCTAAAAAAGCTTTTTTTGTATAGAATTAAAAAATTAGTTTTAGGATTTTTTTAGTTTCTTAATTAAAAATTCTGACCTTTATGAGACCAGTTTAACCTATACATTGGTTTTTGAGCAGTTCCTGATTTGCGAATTTTAAATGGTCAAACCTGCATGCGTAAATATACATAGATTCCAAGGACTTTTGACTGTATACACATATAAGTAAGTCAATAATAACTTCACGCTACGATACATCACTAGTAGTTTTCCAAGCAGGGTTTGAGAAATCAAGAACTAACTTCTTCACTTGTTTTGAGACTGCAAATTCGATCAGGTACTCGATATCTGCCCCTAATCCTATTGGATTGGAGAAATGAATCTCAAAACTGTCAATGACTTGACCTTGAAATCTAGACACCCATTGACGCATGTAGTGAACCAAAGAAATTCTAGCAACTTTCTTGCAGCCAAACCTGTACATGTACTCAGATTCTTTGAAAGCAATATTTTTGGTTTGATGGCATATGTTCCTCTAACGCTTCGAAAGAACAACTTAAGTAAATTATTTACGTGTAATAACAACATATCATGTAACATTAAAACCAAATAACTAAATACTATAAAAAAGTATATAAAAACGATTTCTTATACCGTTATAACAAAAAGTGATGTACCTTAGACGTAAAAAAATGTGCTGTCTCTAGACTGAGAGCTGTCTCTAAGCATTTTTCTCCTTGCTGAGTACTCCAACCTTCAACTCCACTTATATGAACAGAACCAAAGATATTTAGTTATTTGGTTTTAATGTTACATCATATGTTGTTATTACATGTAAATAATTTACTTAATTATTTTGAGATTCATCTCTCCAATCCAGTGGGATTCGGGGCAGATATCGAGTATTTGATCGAATTTGCCGTCTCAAAACAAGTGAAGAAGTTAGTTCTTGATTTCTGAAACCCTGCTTGGAGAACTACTAGTGATGTATCGTGACGTGAAATTATTATTGGCTTATCTGTATGTGTGTACAGTCAAAAATCCTTGAAATCTCTGTTGATTTATGCATGCAGGTTTGACCCCTTGAAATTTGCAATCCGGAACTACTCATAAGCCTGCCTCTGTATAGGTTGGACTGGTCTAAATAACCATTATTTAAAAAAGGTTATTTCTAACTCGCTCATTCTATTTTGAAAGATATAAAATCATAATTCTAACTCGTCCGTTTATATCATTATATAATATAAATATTTACTAATTTTGAAATAAAATTTATTTTAATATTTTGTATATTTTAATAATATAACCCGCATAAAATCACAGTTATAATAAAAATTTAACTTATCCCATCAAATTATTATATATAATATTAATATCTATCAGTTTTCAATATGTGAAATTTTAATCTGATTGAATATGATTACAACAAATAAAATAAAGTATTCGTTAATTGTATGTGTTATTATAAAAATATTATATGAATTCTAAATGTTAAATTAAATAGAACCTATATTTAAGGAATTTTAGACTAATTTAAATTAATATCTATTTTCAAAAATTAAATTACAAAAATTAAAATAATTTGAATTCTAAATTAAATATAACATATATTTAAGGAAATATTTAGATATTTATTAATATCTAATTTTTGGAATTAAATTTATATATAAAAGAAAATGTTTTTTAAATAATTTTGTAAGAAATTATGATTATTTTAAACTGTTTTTAAATTATTTTATTTAAAGAATTTTAAAGAGTACTAGATGATTATCCGTGCAAATGCACGGAGTCTTTTTAATGTTTTTTAAAATATTTTTAAGCTTTTTGTAACTTTAAATAAACTCAATTCAGAATTTTTTTTAAAGTTATCATATACATATAAAAAAAGTTGTTATTTAGTTCTTTTAAAAGTAATTTTTTTATCAGTTTATTTTTAGCTATTATTTTCTTCAAAGAAGCTATTATACTAAACAAAATCTAGAGTTGATAATCCAACAAATACTAAGTATAAAATATCAACTTATGGTTATAAACTCAAGAGGCATATCTTATAAATAAATAGATAAATTTATTCGAATTTTCCTATTTTAATTGGTAAAGTATTTCATAAACTCTTCTGAAATCAAAAATGAATATAATGGAGTTCTAACTAATATCCCAAATTGTATTAAACCCATGACCACTTTTCTTCACCAAATTTTTAGTATGAAATCACTATAGATCTTACGTTGGAGATAGTCTTCTATGCTAAATCTTTCACTTGAATTTAATCGCTACCTTTAATATTCGTTAACTAAAGCGAATTTAAAAACTATCAGCCCAAATTTTCTCAAAGTAACGTCGTATGGTTTCATAGTTCCATATGCTAAATCTTAAGAACACTTGCATGCTTGAAAATATTACCGAGGCTTTGGTCACACAATTTCATCTTCTTAACATCTGTTTTACTTTTTGGGATATTTTACGTAGAAGTAGAAAACTTTGGTACAGAAAATTGGCATATAAGCCCAAATCTACAACTTTAGGCAAAGAAACATATACAAAATTGAAAACAAATTAAAAATCCAAATCCTACAATTATGAAATTCGTCTGAAAAGACTATAGAATACGAAAAAATAATTTAAAAATCCAAACTCTACAGTTATGGGATTTTTATTTTATTTAAATTTATTTCCAAAATAGTTACTTTTCCATGATTTTAGTTGTATTATTTCGAATTTTTAAAGTTAATAAGATTTATTATTCCCTTCATTTGGTTACAAATTTTAGTTTTTACGTCTAAAGTTGCGAAGTTTTATGCATAAGAGAAACGTATTGGTAAATTTTACAAGTACTTTCGAATAATTTGTTGCATCAGAGAAATACGACTTTTTACAAAACAAAAATTCCTTAGTCATCATTAGTCATTACAACTAAAACTATTTTTTTCTCTAAATATGTTGTATTCATTTTCTTGACTCCTTTTAAAGGGATATTATTTAGACTTTTGAGCATACAAATAAGTTTGATTACTACAGAACAAGAATTTGTCAAGATTTAAAATCGGAAGGCAACATACAAACTAAAAAAATTTGTAATCCAAATGCAGGCTATAAACAAAAAGATTATCATTCACCTTTAGTTCCATAACTTTATGTTGTTGACTTCCTGATATTCATTAAGCTTTTCAGAATGTAGTTGATCTTTTTTTGTTTTCTCAAATTACATTTGATTTTTTGTTGGATTATCTTTATCAATAATCAATAGAATAAAAATAAATAATGGTTTATTCTCTCTCACTAAAATCAAAGCAGAAGAATTTTAACCCAAAAAAAAATAAAAAAAATAAGAAGTTTATTGTTTCTAAGGGTTTTTTGTATTGTATTTAATGATTTAGGACTTTTGTGTTTTCTAAACAAATTAAAAATCAATAAAATAAATTATAAATTATTTTGTAAATCTGATGTGTCAAAATAATAGATGCTGATGTGTCAAGATTGTGAGACATAACCCAACTTTTATATAATAGATTTGAAAGCAAGTATTAAAAGTGTTTTTATTTTAATATAATAAATATTATAAGTATGAATTTTATAAGAAAAGATGAAAACTCACGTCATTCTCGCTGCTTGTTGAGGTCATCTTCTGTTTTTGCAGCTTCTCTGTTATGTAAATAAGTCAAAGTAAGAAGCATAGTAATACAATTAAAACAAGTTTCTGACATTTACGAGCTAATAATATGTTTCAAGCTTCTTTTTTGTAAATTAGAAACACACATAACTAAGGGTTTTAACCTATCTACCCTAAACCAAAATCGAAGTTCTAAACTTGGAAGACATAAAAACTCAGAACAATTGAAGACATAGAAACTCGGAACTCACCTTGTACTGATCAATTATTCTCATCAACTTCTGCTTATTGATCTCTTTGTCCTTAATATACACCACTTCTTCCTTACGAGAGATTTTACAAATAATCTGCAAAGTTAAACATTTTCCACAATCAAGTCTTCCTACAAGTACCGGATTTGAAATATATTGGGAGTGAATGTAAAACTTTCATTGCATTTTCCTATTCAGTTTCTTTCTGTCATCTTCTTATATTTCTCTCTTATATACACATATCGTTGTTCTTTAAGAATCAAAGGTCCTTTGTCTTACACAACTATAACAATGGTTAAAGCTACAAGAACTAAAAAAATTTCAATCATAGATCAAAAGCCAACCAATCTTGTTCTTGTTCAGTGTACAACAAAATGAATAAGGTCGGTCTACAAAACAATTCCCAGTTTCCCGGTATTGGGGTTTGAATGAAGTTGAATCCAAAACCCCAAATAAAAAATACAAAGAAGAAAAACCAAGTCATATACACCGAAATAAACCCCATAAATTTTAACACCATGAAAACGCATCTTAAACCAGAAGCTGAAGAGAAAAGACGGTAAAGCAGCAAACCAGGTTATGAAGGCTAATGTATTAAGTTTATAGAACAATATGAAAACCCAATAGTTAAAAAAACTTACATGAGCAACGAAAACAATTAATGAAAGAAGATCAGATTTTTTCCGTCTTATTGTCGCCGAAGAGAGAGCAGATTGTCGGCTAAGAGATAGAGACAATTTTTTAGATTAGGTTAAAATTCTGTGTAGTTTTTATTTATTTTAGTAAGGGTATTTTTGTCTTTTTAAACTAGATGCAAACGCTGCATTTGATCACTCCATTTTCCAACATTTAAAATATCTAGATTTTTGAGATACTAATTAATTTGCATCCAGAGGCTGTATCTGAAATCAAATATTTTTTTTTGGTAAAACGAACCACATTTAAACATTTAGAGTTAAATACAGCATTCTGATACAAACGAACATGTCTTAAAGAGAGTGATATCCGTAAGAAAATGTTGTACTTCTGCAATAGTTTTTTTTAGACGAAATCCACATCTGATGAAATAAAAATACCACTAATAAACTTGCAAACCTATAACAGGAAAAAGATGACGACGATAAAGCGAGCCGAAATCTCTGAATTTCTCTGACGGCTAGGACGTCCACAATATGATTGTTGTTGATTTCATAAAACAAGATATCAACGAAATCTACAAAAGTAAATTAAAGATCAACCTGTATCTCATGTATTTATACAACAAACGGAAATCTATTGGAAAAACATGATATGCCATATAAAACTAATACTGAAGTTGATGGATTCTAAGTTACTAACCAATTTATTAAAAAGATGTCAACACCTTAGAAAAACATGATATGCCATAATATCAAACTGATACTTACAAATTCTCTATTAATGTAAAATCTGTTTGATTAAATATGTTTAGAGCGTGGCAGTCACGCACATTAATGAGAGAGCGTGAGTTAAAGCAATCAAATTACGCAAAGTCACGCCGCAGTAACGGGACGCTAAGGCAAAAAAGCCGTCACAAAACATAAGCCTCACTGTCTGTTTTTTTTTTGGGCGGCGCTTTTCAGTCAAACCCTCATTGACCTCTTCTCTCTCTCTCTCTAAACCAAGAAACCTTTTTTCGTTATAAATAAAACCCAACGTTACTTCTCTATAAATTACCATCTTTTTCTCTTATATTTCCTTAGCAAATGGCTCCAAAACAGACGAATGCGAGTTACGCCACCGTGACTGAAGGCGGCGGCGGATGGAAAACGACGAGGAAGGAAGTGAGGTTTAGAGGAGTGAGGAAGAGGCCATGGGGAAGATACGCGGCGGAGATCCGTGACCCGGGGAAGAAAAGCCGTGTTTGGCTCGGGACATTTGATACGGCGGAGGAAGCCGCTAGAGCTTACGACGCCGCCGCGAGAGAGTTTCGTGGCTCCAAAGCAAAAACCAATTTCCCTCTTCCCGGAGAGTCTACTACGGTCAGCCATACCGCCGGTGGAAACCGTTCGCCGGTGATGGCGGCGCGTGAGATGACACGGCGAGTTGGGGTGGTGGGTAGATTTCCGTTTGCATGTCACCGGCAGCAATACGTCTCCGGCGGTTTATCACCGGCTGCTGCGGGTTTTTTCTTCGATCCGTCAAGGGCTGCTGCGTTAAGAGCGGAGCTTTCTCGGGTTTACCCGGTTCGGTTTGATCCGGTTAATATCGAGCTGAGTATTGGTATTCAACAGACCGTTAAGGTCGAACCGAGAAAGGAACTTAACCTGGATCTTAACTTAGCTCCACCGGTAGACGTTTAGATTTTTTTCTTTTTTCTTTTTAATTTGGTTTTTTTTTGACATTGCGGGAGATAATAATTTAATTTGTTTTCTGCATCTTTTTTTTTTTTAATTTGGACAAGTAAGAGGACGAAAGTTTAGAAAGCCCCTTTTTTTTGTTTCTCTATGGTTCCTGGATGTAAATTATAATTAGAAATCTATCTTTTTTTTTATCTGCTTTTCTCGTTTTGAAGTTGATTTAAAATGACATTTATAATAGTTGATTTTTTTTGGGTACCAAAATAATGGTTAATTTTATCAAATGGTAGTCGATATAAATCCATTAAATGCATTAAGTGGCTGTGGAATATGAAATCAAAGAAATGTGAAGCATTTACTTTGTCTGTCAACGTCAAACAAATTAATGTTTGAGACGGGAGAGTACAAAAAAATCGTCATCATAACATACAAAGTAGTTGCCATTACATTTAATTTTCTCATTATGTTTGTTTTATTTTTTAAGTTTTCTCATTATGTTGTAATAGGATTATGAAATTAATTATAAAAAACCTCTTTTCAGAAGGTGTAGTAGAATTGTAAGAAAGTGAAGTTCAAAAGAGAAAAATGAACAGTAAAGAAGTCAGGAATTTTTGAATAAAAATCATGAAATTTGAAAATGTAAAAATGTAAGATAGAGTGAAAGTAGCATCATCTGTCCAATCTTTCGAATTTCGTGTAGATGGGGATGATGGCATCAGTGTCAGGTGGGAGGCACGTGAGCCTTCGCCGTCCACCAGGCGCGTCTCCCTTTTGTTTTTGTTCATATTTTTTAATCCTTGATTTCTAGTAATCTCAAACTTATTACATTCAGATTTGTGTACATATTTCATAAGTTTTGTGTCAATATTTTAAAACCAGTTCATACTATATTTGGTGACAAATTGAAATGTTTGGTGACAAAATTTAAAACATAGTTCCTCTTCTGAAGAGTATGGATTGAAAATTTGTATCATGGACGTACAAATGATTGGAGACAAATCATATATAAAGACTCGCTAACTACCTTAAGTTAATACTATATTTCTTTAGTAATCATAATTCTTCTTGTACATGTATTCGCGTGGAGATTGATTTTTGGATTGGTACATATATGCCCATCACACGGATTTGGAAAATGCATAAAAAATAAAATACAGCTAATAAAGAAAACTGTGGTCTTTTTGTGTCATACTGTTACTAGAAAAGTTCAGAATAAAAGAGATTAAAAATACACTTATCTAGTTGCAAAAGTACACAAAGAAACACATAAATTGAAGATAAAAAAAGAATAACAGGTGAATAATTCTCAGGAGAGATCATTTGAGTCCACCTCATCTTCTTCGACCATGTTTTCTACTATTGCTAGCAACAATCCACTCCATTTCTTGCATTTTTGGAAGGTTTTACCGATCTATCCTGTAAGTTCATCAATACATGAAAATATTGGGTTAATATATATATATATATATATTTTTACTATAAAGCTTGTTTTGTTTAACTACAGATGTGGTAATATATTTGACGGTGTTACCTATGACCTATATATCAAAGTGATGTGTATATGTTAATTTATTCAGCTTGTATTGTTAACAAGACTCTAAAAAGTCTTGCATGAACTTTACTTTTGTTATGCAAAAATATTGTAAAAGACCGGGAAAAGAAAAGAAGAAGAAGCTATTGGTTGCATTGGATAAGTCGCCGAAGTGGGTGTGGGACTCAAATTAAGGTCGGGGTAAGCAGATATGCGTGGGTCCCATACTTAGTCGGCAGATTCTGCGGAAAGTTATTTTTTTAAGCTTCTCTCCACGCGCCACGACGTCGCGTTTATTTCACTCACCGTCCACACATACACCACGTGACATCACCGCCTCGCGCGTACGTACGTTCATACTTCATACCATTTGGTCTTTTTTTTAGCCTGAAAATATATCTCCACCGATGTTTCGCCGCGTGTTGGTCTACTCACGAGCCTTGCGTGCGTGGTCTCCTTAATTTAATTAACTAATCTATTAATTGGTTTTAAGTATTTTTTTTTTGGTGAGTCATAGGAGTATTTTTTTTTCCATAATTTTGTAAACTCACTGACGGTTTACAAAATTGCGACATTTTATTATAACGACAATTTAAGCATTCACACATGACCTCTCTCTATTTTGGAGTTCTGGACGTTGGTACAACTCGATGTTGACTTTCATATTATTCGACAATGCATGGACAGGAAAAAACAATTGAAGTGAATTTCTAAATTTGACTATAACATTTTACTACAATTCAAGCATTCACACTAGACTTTTATTTGGTACAACTGAAAATTGACTCTTACTTTCTTCGATGATCTATGGACAGAAAAAGACTATAATGAAGTCTTCCTTTTTCAATAGTAAACCTTTTAAACAATTTTTTTTTCTTTTTGGACAAAACGAAAAAGCTTGTTTTGAAAAGAAAAAAAAAAGTCTCTTTCTTCTATAGCTTATTCGCTTTCCATTGGACTCTTTGTCTGACTCCGGGGCCCACTAAATTCTTCCTTTACAGCTTCATTTTTGACACGTGTCCTAAGTATGTGCTCCACCTGTGCGGGTCTTAAAACTCTTTATGAGCCTGGACTTGACATTTCTCTAATGAGCTGGGCCTTAAATCGGAAAAAGCCCGAGAGAAAAAAATCTTCACAGGTGCATTTTGGTAATTACATAGCTAAAATTAGAAACCGGTAATTAAAGGCAAGGCACGGCGCGAGCCCCGGGGCATTGTCGGCGATGACGGTGGCGCATTCTCACCGGTTCTCGACGGCGCTTAACCCCATTAACATAAGCTTGCTCTCGAAACAACTGATTCAGCTTGGACGGATCAACAATGCCGATACCTTTTCCGAAATCAGTCGTCAAAAAGAAGTTCTAGTGTCATCGCTCATCTCTAAGCTCGACGTCTGCACCGGTCTCGACCAAATCAAGCAAGTTCACGGTCATATTATCCGTCAAGGACTCGATCAAAGCTGCTACATCATCGCCAAGCTAATCCGCACGCTCACCAAGCTCGGCGTCCCCATGGATCCGTACCCTCGCCGTGTGATGGAGTCTGTTCAGTTTCGGAACCCATTTCTATGGACCGCAGTGATTCGTGGCTACGCGATTCAAGGTAAATTGTTAGAAGCAATCTCTATGTATGGATGTATGAGGAAAGAAGGGATCACTCCTGTTTCTTTCACTTTCTCTGCTCTATTGAAAGCTTGTGGATTTGTGAGAGATTTGAATCTGGGTAGGCAGTTTCACGCGCAGACGTTTAGGCTTAGAGGGTTTTGTTTCGTTTACGTTGGCAACACCATGATCGACATGTATGTGAAGTGCGGGTCTATCGATTGTGCGCGTAAGGTGTTCGACGAAATGCCTGAGAGAGATGTGATATCGTGGACAGAGCTTATAGCAGCGTATGCGAGAGCTGGGAATATGGAATCTGCTTCTGAACTGTTTGAGAGCTTGCCTACAAAGGACATGGTGGCTTGGACCGCCATGGTTACAGGATTCGCGCAAAACGCGAAGCCTCAGGAAGCTTTAGAGTACTTTGATAGAATGGAGAAATCTGGAATCCGAGCTGATGAAGTGACCGTAGCTGGATTCATATCAGCTTGTGCACAGCTTGGAGCAAGCAAATACGCTGATCGGGCTGTTGAAATCGCTCGGAAATGTGGGTATTCTCCTAGAGATCATGTTGTTATCGGGTCTGCGTTGATAGACATGTACTCGAAATGTGGAAATGTAGAAGAGGCACTACACGTGTTTGAGTCGATGAACAACAAGAACGTGTTTTCTTACAGTTCGATGATCCTTGGTCTGGCTATGCACGGACGTGCACAAGAGGCTTTAGATCTGTTCAATTACATGGTAACGCATACCACAGTTAAACCAAACACGGTTACATTTGTCGGCGTGCTTACAGCTTGCAGCCACGCGGGTCTTGTGGACCAAGGACGTCAAATATTCGCTTCTATGCATCAAACATTCGGCGTTAAACCAACGAGTGATCACTATACTTGTATGGTCGATCTTCTAGGCCGTGCAGGACGGTTACAAGAAGCACTTGAAGTGATCAAAACCATGTCTGTTGAGCCACACGGAGGTGTGTGGGGTGCATTGCTTGGTGCCTGCAGGATCCACAAGGATCCAGACGTTGCAGAGATTGCTGCGAAACATTTGTTTGAATTGGAACCAGATATTATCGGAAACTATATCTTGCTCTCTAACGTCTACGCTTCAGCTGGAGACTGGGACGGTGTTTTAAGTGTGCGGAAACTGATTAAAAGAAAGGGTTTGAAGAAGACACCAGCGGTTAGTTGGGTTGTAGATAACAGAGGTAAGATGCACAAGTTTTTCCCGGGATACATGAACCATCCGATGTTGAATAAGATTGAAGACACGTTAGAAGAGCTTGTACAGAGATTAACGGTGTTAGGGTATCAACCAGATTTAAGCTCTGTACCTTACAACGTGAGTGACGATGAGAAGAGGTCGATACTGATTCGGCACACCGAGAAGCTGGCTTTAGCGTTCTCTTTGTTAACTACGAGCAGAGATTCTTCGATAAAGATAATGAAGAATTTGAGGATGTGCCAAGATTGTCACACGTTTATGCGTTTGGCGTCGGAGGTTACAGGGAGGGTGATTATAATGAGGGATAATATGAGGTTCCACCATTTTAGGAGTGGAGCTTGTTCATGTGGTGATTTTTGGTGAGAATCGATTTTGCGGACGAGGAAGATGAAGAGTTGCCACCACCTATGACACTTGATGAGGTTGTAAGGAGGAGTTAAGTATCAGCGATGGAAGTAGATGAAATTGTTGAGCCCTGGACGAAATGGAAATGGACGAAGAAAGTTAAGCTTGTTATATCACCAATTGCGAGTTAATGAATTTCGCTTATTGATCCTTAGTTCAAAGAGCAAAAGTGATCGTATGTCTGCTAAGATTCGTGAGACCAGACCACTGTTGCACAAACATAGTCGGACTGTCCCGTCTGCGTCTGGATCTCTTTGGAACAACCGAAGAAGAAGTCTCAAATGCTGGTAAAGCAGAAATTGAGAAGAAGAAAATTGAGCAACCGAAGCAAGTAATATGGGATGGTCACACAGGAAGTATCGGGTCACACAGCAAACCAAGACTGGACTCAGAACGCTAATGGAGAGGAGCAAGGCGATGGCGTTTATGGAGATCCCAATAGCTTCCCCTGATCCAGCTGCTTTTTCTCCTCCTTGACCAGGTGTGCCAAGTAGCTCTTACAACTAGACTTTGAGAATTTAGTTTACTTGGGATTTCATTATGAGTCAAACCGGAAAGTCGAATTCCATTTTTTAAATTTAAATCTTAACACCATTTATAGTCTCAACACCATTTATAGTCTCAACACCATATAGCATCCTCTTCATCGTCTTAATCATCCTCATTATCGTCACTGCTTTTATAACTGTCACCTTGACTTTCTGGTTCTGCTTCCTTAGGAATTTTGCTAGAACAAAGAAGGTAAAGAGATAGGTTGTTAGAAAGAAGAGAGACACAAGACAATGTCCGAATATTTTCTTAGAAAGCATCTCTTCTCATTAGAGGTTTTAGGGAAGTCTCTTTTCTTCTCTCTATATTTTGGGCTACAGAGATTGAATTATTTGTTCCTTTTCTATATAACTAGATGAAAACTGTAGCACAAGATGTTTTCATAAAATAAAATTCATCCCATTTTGAAACCAGAAGATCAAAAATACAAAATCTATCCATTATTAATTTTGAGAGTCCGCAAACTTTGACACTGCCCCAAAATTGTGATTTCACCGACGTATTCATCCAATATACACTCTTTCAATACACAAGTAGGTCACAATTATGATACCTTGGGACGACATGTATGCTCTCTTGAGCTCTTCTTTGTCTCTTCTGCTTTTACCTTTACAAATTTCCACCGAACGGAGAGTACCAAAACTGTGCTTTTTATAGTCTAGAGGAATCACCAGAGCCGGTTCCTTGTGAATTCATCTTCCTCTTTGAACAGCAAATTGATTCTGAATATTTCAACAATACTTTAAAGCTTGAAGAAAGCAGGTATGAAAACTTTATATAATTTTTTTACCAAGCTATGCTACTGATCAACTTGAATGAGCAGCAACTGACCATACAAAGACAGTACATAAACTCATGATTCATTTTTGAACACAGAGGACTCATGATTCATTTCTTCACTTTTTTTTTTTCTTCTTCAGATTTGAAGGAGCACTTGTGATCATCATCGTCTTCCTTGGACGCTTCCTGGATATGGATTCATAGTCACCCTCATCTCTGTCTTTGGAGGCTTCTGCAGATTTGAATTTGTATCCCTCTTCATCATCTTCCTTGGCAGATGCTTGGCCGGCTTCAGGTTTAGATTCATGTGTATCCATGTGGTCATCTTTATCGCCAGATTCCCCATTGTTGCTGCGGTCGGTTTCGTCCGTCATGATCTGAATACCACATTCAATAATGTCGAATTCTTGATATGTCCAGCTGAATTCAAGAACTGTCTTTCTCCTCACTTCAGAAGGATCGATAAAGGGCAAGCCAGAGTGAAGAAATATAAACAGATGCCGCCTTTGAAATTTGGGGATGACGAACTTCATGTCAGTAAAGCTTACTAAGTTGTGGACTTTGCAAGAATACAATAGTTCTGAATCCAAACCTCTCATGGCTTGACGGTTAGGTGACATCACGAGGCAAACCTTGAATCTGATAAAAGCAGAATGAGGAATTGTCAAGGAGTTTCCGCTGGCTCGGTAATCGAACTCTGCAGGTACTTCTCTTCCAGGTAAGAGAGCCCACTTGTGAACAAACGACATGTTGAACAATCTCTTGTCCACACAACCTGAAGCAGTTGTTGAAACTGAGCTCTGCATGTGGAGCATTTAAAGGTCCACTTACTCTCTCCAGTGATTCACAATCGTTTGCTGTTAAACAGTTGAGCGAGCCAGGGAGCTCTGGCAATAACGTGAGTCTTTTGCAGCTTGACAGAGTAAGGAACTGTAGGTTATAAAGACCCTTGATGTAATCTGTGATCCTCTCGATCCCACTATCTCCTAGGTCTAGGCTTGTTACACTCGTGGGGAGATGTGTTGAGTATCCTAGTATTTAATTCAAAATTACAAACAATAATCATATATATATATATATATATATATAATGTTATTTTGCAATATTCTAACTACCCACAAACAGACATAACTAAGTTGGAAATTCATGCACCAAGGAATAAAATTGAGACATATAGGTTCAAATATTCTCATTTTGAGGTATAGGTTGAAGTAACAGAAGTACGAAACCTAGTTGTGACAGAAGAAACATGATTATAATTATGTGGTTTAGTGCACTGTGGCCTTGGAATCTTGAGAAGCAAAGCTAAAAGACAAAATAAAGAAAAGGGATATTAAAAAGGCACAAGACTTTCAAAGTGTTCCGGTGAGATAAGAAGTTGACAAACACATTGCTCATCACTTGTATGATTGCACCCAAACTCTTCAAATCCTTCAAGCTCAACTCTTCTAATATAGTTCTTGGCTCCCTTTCCGTTGTAGTAGAAAATGTATAATGGTTCATGTCTGGGAGGCAACTTTAGCGGACCTAAAATGACCTCACCAGATTTGTTCATGCCTAAGAAGTTTAACTGAATTTTCCCTGACAAATCCGCCAAGAGAGGGTGAAGATGGAAGACATCGGTCTTCCATCTAAATTTGTCGAAGACATCTAAAACCCATATAACGAAACCACGAAGAGGCTCACGAGGATTGGGATATACCGCAGCCAACATCCCATTGTAGTTTAACAATGATCCACAAGCTATGAATGACGAAAATGTTCTGATAGAACTCATCCTCTCACATCTAACGTCAAAACGAAAAATCCTTGGTTCTTTCTCTTGTTCTCGGGTAGTCCAACCACCAAAATACACCATCCCATTGATGCATACTCCGTTGGTCACAACATTATAACGTTTGGTTTTCCTACCTTTGATGTTTCTCCATGACAGGTTTCCTCCTCCAAGTATTAAAACCTTGTGCTCTTGAAAACGTTCACCAAACAAAACCGTGCTACACAATGCTTTGTATTCATTACCAACCGGATCATATCCCAAGAACATATATATGTCCTCCCTTATAACCTTAGCTTTGAGATCTGGCAATGTTATGATCTGTCTAGTGCAAGGGTTACAAATGGTGAACCGCCTGGATCTGAAGGATGTAACAAAGCAAACAGTCCATGGACGCAAGACAAATGAACACGGTCCACAGGCAAACAGGGCACAGTCATTTCGAGATTGGTATGCAAACAAGTATAAGTGTATAACCAATAGGGTTCACGGCCATTTTAAGAGTGGTAGGTCGCTCTGTTTCATTGGGTGAAGACGATAAGAGGGCCACACGATTCTTAGCACTACGAACAGCTACTAGAAACCGTGACCGAGTTTGGGACAGTGAGATAAACGAATCGATGAATACTTGGCTTTGGATGATGGATGACCATTCCTTGGATACACATTGGAACCTCTTAAGAGATTTAATCAGCAATCTAGTCAAGATCTCAATCTCTAGATCAGGAGGGATATGATGAGCTAAGTTGTTGACTGAGACCTTACAAACACCCTCCTTGTCATCATCCACTTCACCAGCTCTCATCCTAGTGAAAAGGAGAACCAAAATGTGCATCACGTTACGATGGTCAAATAAGAATGATTATAAAACTATAGTGTTCAGACGCAATACAGGACACAAATAAAAAAAGAGCTAAAGAAAAAATAGATTGACTCTCCAAGTATGATCTTTATAACTTTGAGCAACAGATGTATAATCTTACAAATATTTCGAGACTGTAAGAACATGAACCAAAGAATGGTCAATGACGCAGAACATGGACAGTAACAGTAACAGTGGATATGACATGGTTTCAACCTATGAACATGAATCACGCGGAACGATATACATTTGCGAATTGAAAACCATTGAAACAAACTTACCTTACCTGCAATGAAATAACTTATCTACTCGCGAATTGCAGAAGAAGAATAACACGTAAAATTCAACAAAGCCTAACTCTACAGTCGTGAGAAACGAACGAGATGAGGAAGAGAGGGGATGGGGTGAAATCGAGAGATTTGTTTTTTTCTTTTCCATTTGTTGTTATCGTAAAGCTCTCTATAACATAACAAAATATTAAGTGAATAATATACTTTTTCATTCCGTTTTGTGTTACAAAAAATTGTATAAATAAACAAAATCCACGTATCTATCCTACAATATCTATTATATATATATATATATATATATATATCTATTATAATATTTGCGAGATTCGATCAAAATTCAAAGTTCAAATTTTGACGTTGTTTTAATTAATGAAAATACAATATATTGATTGGTCGGTTATTATTATAATTTGATTAGTTAATTTTTAATTATTAAAACAGATATTAATCTTTTTAAAAATAAAAACCTTCCGTTATTAAAATCAGAAGTGTCAAAAGCTTTTCTCTAGAATAATGCGACTCAAATCTAAATTTTTAAAATCGATTAATCCAAAATTAAGAATTAACCCGCACAAAGTAATGTTTTTTAAATTATCTTTAAATTTAAATTTTTTTGGTTAAATTAACATTGGTGGTAAAAATCATTTAACAAAAAATATAAATAACTAAATTAGTGGCAATTAAATAACAATACATATAAATATTACACAACCGATATTTACCTGTATATAATTAGGCCTGAATTTTTCGGAAAGGGTAATCCGTCCCGTCTCGTACCCGTCCCGAAATTCCCGAACTTTTCGGGAAAGGGAAATTGTAACTTCCCATTCGGGTTTGAAAATAATATTTGAATGGGTAAGGAAAAGGGTAGGGACGGGGATGGGATTACCCGAACTTCCCGTTGGGTAATTATATAAAATAAAATTTTAGAGATTTCGGTTTATTGAAATTTTTTTAATAAATAATATTTTTCCAATTTATTAACAAATAATAATTTTTTTAAAAAAATAAAAATTAATTTTAGTCTAATCATTCGAATTATCCGAAAATTTTTCCGTCCCTTTCCCGTTCATTTTCCGATTATATTTTATTTTGAGATTGTATGGGAAGTATGTTTTGATTCCTAAATTTTCCGTTCCCGTCCCATACCCGTAAATTTCCCTCCTGTTATTTTGTGGGAATACTTTGGGTAGTATATTCAGATTCCCAAAATTCTCATTCTCATCTTTACCCGTCAATTCTCGTCCCAATTCCCGAAAAATTCAGGCATCAAATAAGACTTTGAATTACGTTTGTTATGCGGTTTAATTATTAGTAATTTTAAAATGTGAAAGTGATATAATGTTAATATATATATATATATTACAATAAGAATTTAATTGTGAATATTTTAATAAAAATTAAACATCATTTTTAGTAAATGAATTATATAAAATTTGTTAATAATTATTATATTGAGGATTGTCAAAGTGGACACCCATCTACTTAATCTATTTCGTAATTTATTAAAATATATTTTTGGCCAACCCGTAAAAATACAATTTAAATTTTGAAAACATATTTTTTTTATAAAATAATTGAATTTATTTTTGAAAATAATACTAATTAATTATCAAAATACAAATTAAAAATATTGCAAAATTTTAAATATTGTTTTTTTATATACATGAATTGATTATTATTTAAAATAATAGAATATATTTGAGTATTTTAATAAGTAAAGAAACTAAATACATTTTTGATTTATATTCATATATATTCAAAACAAATATGTTAACTTTGTATTTAACTATCTCTTACAGAGGAATATTTAATTGAGTTTTCTATATTTATAAAGTTCATTTATGTGATATATTCTAAGTAAATGTTTATTTATGTAATATCTTATAAACAAATATTTATTTATATAAAATATTTTGTAATATCTTATAAATAAAAGTTCATTTATGTAAATGTTTACTCAAATAATAATATAGAGATATAAATATCAATTTATTGTGTGCAATATAAAAGAGGATAGGTGTGTTGGTTTGGTGATTTGTTTGTCAACTAACTATTTACGAGTTCGAATGTCATTGTTTATCAGTTGTTGATTTTTTTCTTTGATCCAGGCATATAATATATACTTAGCAATTGATTGGTTAATAACAAAAAATAGCTTCGTATGATGGTTTGATCTTCAGTTAAGTCTATGTTTTATTTAAATTTAAGCACATCTTATTTTCTTTGTTTTTTTTTTGAAATTTTATTTTAAGCCAGGTTTTAGAAAAAAAATCCTTATATAATAGATATTTTAAAAACGGATATATGTC